AATATTAAAATCTTTTGTGATAACACAAGTGCCATAAATATTTCCAAAAATTCGGTTTTGCATTCTAGAACTAAGCATATTGACGTACGCCATCATTTCTTACGCGATCATGTAGAGAGACAAGATGTATCCCTAGTATTTGTTGACACCAAATCTCAACTAGCGGATATATTTACTAAGCCTCTTGGAGAGGATGATTTTTGTCGCATAAGAAATGGTTTGGGCTTATGCACTATGTGAAAGTTCCACATTGCTTGCTTGACTAGTTGCATTTTGCATTTGGCATTTTTCTTTACCCCATTTTTTATGGTGACAAAGGGGGAGAGCAATCTCCTCATTTGTTGCATATATTTAGGGGGAGCTCATAGATAGGGGGAGCACTTATCTATAAGCTATTTTATTTTTGCTCTTATATAATGGTTGGTTGTCATCATCAAAAAGGGGAAGATTGTTAGCCCTTATATTTTGATGATGTTCTTACAACCACCATTATCGGTATTAATGGTTTATTGAGTGTAAATGTAGTAAATTCATTTGTCAAGCTCGTTAGTGCCATAAATGGAGGATGGATGGAATATACGCTACAACGAAGATATCCAAAGGAGGAGGAGGCCAAGAGATGAAGCAACGTTATTTCAAGAACGACAAACTCGATTAAAAGCTTCATCCGATTCAAGCTATATCAAAGCTCAAGTATATTGCTCTCTATATGAGGATATTAGCTTTCTTTTGTTTCTCTCTCTAGTGCTAGAATGTAGGCAAAGAGTTACTGAGTTTACTTGAAACTATTGGGAATCACACACACGTTTTTAGACTTGTGCTTTTAAACGTTTTTCATAAAATACTATTTTTCACAAGTATGAGTACCTATCTGCAAAATTCTTTTTCCAAACAGTTTGTTTTTAGTATTAAAAACATTTTACAAAGTTTCAGAATTTTCAGAGGTCAAACGAATATTTTGCAAATATTTCAAGTTGGTCAAAAATCTGCTTTCTGGAAAATATCAAAAATCGGTCGACCGGTCCGGTCGACCGGTCCTATGACCTTTCTTTAGCATTCTTCCAGATTGTCGTCGGTCGACCGGTACGGTCGACCGAATTCTCAATCTTTAAATCGGTCGACCGCGCCGGTCGACCAATGAGGCTCTGCTTGTTTTTCCATATTTCTTTAACTGCTCGCGGTCGACCGAATTTTTCGGTCGGTCGACCGAAGGACTTTTTCGGTCGACCGAAATTCTCTTCGGTCAACCGGATTTTCCCTTTGGTCAGCCGCGACTTTTTTAAACGGTCATTTACATCGAACACTGTGCTTTCACTTGTTAGTGATTGGCACAGTCTGAGATGAGGGTCTGAAAAGGAGATTATTATCTCATTTGGGAAGATTGAGTTTTATTTTAAAATGATTTAAACTCTTCTATAAAAAACCCCCCAGACCCCTTCTTCTTCCTCAGCCCTGACGTTTGAAAAACCAGAGAGTTTTTCTGTTTTCCTGAGAAAAATTTTCAAAGTCTGTTTTCTCTCTGTTTCAAGTGTGATTCATCTCCCAGCTTCAGTATATCTTCTCTTTGCTATAGGGGCTGTGTAAAGAGAGGTTCTTTCACTGTTTCTTCTGCTGTGTGAGTGAGATCTGTTGAGATCAACTGTGAGGGAGAGTGATCTGTGAGATCAAACTGTGTAGTGAGAGAGATCTGTGGAGATCGCTGTGTAGACGAAGTTCCGGCTTCCAAACCGGGTGTGTAGTGGATTTCTCCTCGAGAGTGGGGAGCGGGGACGTAGGCCAGAGGGCCGAACCTCGTTAACACATCGCGCGTCAAGGATAACGAACTCCTAACTCTATCTCTCTCTTTTTTATCGCATTACTGTTTTGTGGTTTGCTTGTACTGTTTTTTAAATTGCATATTAGGCCTCTTGACCCTAATCACCCCCCCTCTAGGGTCCAACAATTGGTATCAGAGCTTGGTCTCTATATCAGTTTTTGGTTTAACAACCTTAGAGAAAAGATCTAATGGAGGCCTCTTTGAATATGCATATGCTAGAAGGACAATCCACAACTAGACCACCTCTCTTCACCGGCACTAATTTTGCTTATTGGAAAGCTAGGATGAGAATTTACCTTCGTTGCATAGACCTTGACATTCTAGAGCTCATAGAAGAGAAATATGAAGAAAAGTCCAAAGTCGGGAACATGACCGATGGAGAAAGGCACCTAGCTAATCTCAACGCTAAGGCTATGAACGCCTTAATTTGTGGTCTTTCCCCTAATGAATATAATAGAGTTTCCACGTGTGCAACCGCATACGAAATTTGGGTAAAATTATGTGTCACACATGAAGGAACCCCCCAAGTTAAGGAATCTAAGATTAGTGGACTTATGCATGATTATGAGCTATTTAAAATGCTTCCAAATGAATCCATTGATGCTATGTTTTCTCGTTTTACTAATATCATCAATGAATTACATGGTCTAGATAAGCAATTATCCATTCAAGAGATGAATTACAAGATACTTCGCTCCTTGACTCCGACATGGGAACCCAAGGCTACGGCCATTGAGGAAGCTCATGACCTCACTACCTTAGCTCTTGATAGCCTCATCGGAAAGCTCAAAGTGCATGAGAAGAAGCTCAAGGGGAAGGAAAAGGAGGAAGTGTCATCACGCGAAGTTGAGGAGCCGTCACCAAAATTGAAGACCATAGCTCTCAAGGGAGCTAGTGACAACTCATCTTCGTCGTCGGAGAGTGAAGTTGATTTTTCTAGAGAAGTGGCTCATCTCTCTAGAAGAATCTCTAGACTTATCAAAATGAACAAAAAATTTAATCCCCGATCTAACAACAAGTTTTCATCTCGTGTAGGAAAATGCTTTGAATGCAACGAACCGGGTCACATCGCTAAGGATTGCCCCAAGCTCAAGGAAAAGTACATGAAGTACAAAAAGAAGAAGGCTATGTATGCCGGATGGGAAGAATCCGAACCAAGTGACTCGGATAGTGATGAAGAAGGAGCCAAATTTGCTCTTCATGACCCAAATGTTTGTTTCATGGCAAATGAACAAGAGGTAATATCCGAGGCCGAAAGTGAATCTTTCTATATGCAATGTGACATAGCTATGGCATTAGAAGAGTTGAACTTTGAATTTAAAAGAATGTCTAAAGAATACTCTTCTTTCAAAAAATTGCATACCTCTTGTGATATTAAGCTAGAGCAACTAACAACCTCTCTTGCTCTAAAAGATGAATTGCTAGGAGATCTCGATTTCGAGAACAAGCAATTAAGATCAAAGATTGAAAAATTAGAAATTGAGGGTTGTAGAACTAGACCCACTCATGCTTATGACAACTACAATCACCATGGTAGAAATAGGTTTCATAGTTCCAACATTCGTACATACAAAAGAAATTTTGTATGCACCTATTGTATGAGACATGGACACATTTCTACTCATAACAATTGACCTGTAACCTTAACAATTAAACCCGTAACCTTAACAATTGACCCGTAACCTTAGCAATTGACCCGTAACCTTAACAATTAACCCGTAATCTTAACAATTAAACCCGTAATCTTAACAATTAAACCCGTAATATTAACAATTAAACTGTAACCTTAACAATTAAACCGTAACCTTAACAATTAAACCCGTAACCGTAACAATTAAACCCGTAACCGTAATAATTAAATCTGTAACCTTAATAATTGACCCGTAACCTTAACAATTAAACTCGTAACCTTAATAATTGACTCGTAACCTTAACAATTAAACCCATAACCTTAACAATTGACCCGTAACATTAACAATTAAACTCATAACCTACACAACAAACTCATAACCTTAACAAAACACCAATAACCTTAACAACCAACCCGTAACATTAACAATCAATACATAACCTTTATAACCAACCATTATCCTTAACAACGAATATTCTAAAAATCCAAAAATAATATAAAATGAAAATAATAAAATAACAATCCTCTTCAATCATTTCAATATCATCACAGTAACATCATGATAGAGAGAGAGAGGATCCATAACATTAACAATTGACCTGTAACCTTAACAATTAACTCGTAACCTTAACAATTAACCCGTAACTTTAACAATCTTCCAATACAAACAACGAAAATAATAAAAAACAAAAATAATAAAATAATCCTCATCAATCATTTCAACTATCATCTCAGTACATCATGATAAAAAGAGAGAGACAATGCTATTATGGTCTTCACATATGTTAATCTCTTGGGTTTTGTGTTTTGGGGGCTCAGATAATAAAATCTTTATTTTTGGGGGCAAAACACCCGTTGACAAAGTCTTGAGGGTGGGAAGCATGTTTTCTTAGCTTTTGGGGGCTAGAAGCATTTTTCCCAAAAAAGAATCTAGCAATTTTCATGTAGATTTCATTCTCATCACAGGCTTACTGTTACGATGATAACTGAAATACTGATTGCATTGGACATGAATCTGTAACATATACTTCAAACATATCAATCTTTTTGAGGATATTGTTGATTATAGGCTGTGACGGTTATTCTGACAACAACACGCTGGTGCTTTTGGATATGGTGGTTTCGGTCAGAGTCCAGCCATCATGTCTTCTCCCACATTAATATTTTCTGTACATGTGCATACCTTCTCGCTTCATCATGAGTGTTAATTAAACGTTAAACACTTTAAACCATTATAGCAATTGCTACAAACTAAACATGATTTCCCTTTAAAAAAAACCAAGCATGTGCTTGACATTTAATCTTTTCAGATTATGGTATAGCTCATGCCATGTATATATGTTAAGTGGGCTAGATTTTATTGGGTTAGTTGCTTGCTTTGTTTTGGCCCCGGACTCACAGGTTCAATTTGAATGATTCCGGCATTAAGTTGGAAGCATGGCATACATAGAAATTGAAATTTCCTTGAAACATTCCGGCATTAAGTTGGTCCTAGCTGTTGTATATGGATCTGCAATTCTGCATGGATTCCCATATACAACAGCTAGGACCAACTTAATGCCGGAATGATTCTGCATGAATTGCAGATCCTAGCTGTTGTATATGGGAATCCATGCAGAATTGCAGATCCATATCTATTTGAGAATTTTTTTTTTCCCCTAAGAAAAGGTAGCTAAATTCTGATCTGTGGTTGTCCTTGCTCTTTTTCACTATTCTTTTATCCTCATCTTCTAATTAAGTGACACTATGAGTCTATGACTTACATATATACATGTAAGATAAAGAGCTCCTGTAGAAATTATGTCTATACAAAGAAGTTAGTACTTGATGTTCTAGGTTTAGATGCAATTACCGTTAGGTTAAAACATTAAAGAAGCATGATGCATTGAGGTCTATTCATCAAATCAAATGCTGCTGTGGGGGTCGAAAAAAGTGCTTATGTAATTATAGATCTTGAAGCCTCAGTCGTGTACCCCACAAGTTGAGAGTTTTGCAGTGGGTAAATTCACGAGCTTTTGTATGCAGGTATGAACACGGGCATTCAGGATGCCCATAATTTAGCCTGGAAAATAAGCTGTTTGTTGAAAGATGCTGCTTCGCCTTCCCTTATAAAAACTTATGAGTCAGAGCGTAGACCAGTAAATAGTGCTTACAACTTCTTTTTGTTATTTGCTTCCATCTCTTTCACTTTTGTTTTGCCATGAAGAGCTGAACACATTTGCCTGTTTTTAGATTGCCATCTCCAACACTGCATTAAGTGTTAATAACTTCAAAGCAGCTATGTCAGTTCCTGCTGCACTTGGTATTGATCCAACTGTTGCAAATACAGGTGAAATGAAAATATTTCCATTGACTGCTTTTGCACCCTGTCAATTCCTATATTGTCTATTATAACCTATTTTTTTGTTCATTTATCTGGCAGTTCATCAGGTAATAAACAGTAGTTTTGGATCCATTCTTCCTTCTACTTTCCAAAAAGCTGCCCTGGAAGGAATTTTTTCCATTGGCCGGGCACAACTCTCGGACTTTGTTCTGAATGAAAACAATCCACTTGGTTCTTCAAGGCTTGCTAGGCTGAGGGCTATATTTGATGAGGGGAAGATTGGTTTCAGGTTAGTATGATTAATAACTATTACATTCCATCTTGGACCTCAAATTGAGGAGTGAAGCCTTGCATATGATATATTGACCATGCACCTTTTAGGTGTCAGTTAAATTAATTTGTGAGAACAGTATCTGTCTTTTAATAGACTGTACACTTACATTATATGACCGTTGAATTCATTATCAGGTACCTTAAGGGAGCTCTGGTAGCTGACAGTGACAACGAAACACAAGAAACGGTAGAAACTGCTGCTACCTATAAGAGAGGGTCAAGGGACTATGTTCCCTCCGGTAAACCTGGATCGAGATTGCCACATATGCAACTGAGGATGTTGAATGCATCAGAAAATGAGGTATCACCTATGATATTTTTAAATGTTAATTGCACACAGAGCCCGTGGTATCGTTGCTTTTAACTTGCTATCCATGTAGTTCCATTATTGCAGATAGGGCCCAGGGTTAAAATTTTTGACTCTTTAACCCTGGGTGAAATTCTGGCAGATATTGCCAAGGGTCAAATCAGTGGGTCTATCTGAGGGCAAAATAGTCAAAAATAACTAAATAAATAACCCACGGGTCTATCTGCAATAATGAAACTACAGAGGTGCAAAATCAAAACACTGATACTGCAAGGGGTCTATGTGCAACTAACTCGATCTTTTGTTCTCATATCGCCTAGTACTTATTCGTTTTGCTGATTACATCGACTTTCAACCAGGATTCTATCTCAACCTTGGATCTAATATCTGTAGAAAAACTAGAATTCCTTCTGATTATTGCACCGTTGAAAGACTCCTACGATGTTGCTCGTGTGGCCTTTAAGGTAGCAGAAACACTCAGAGTCTCACTTAAGGTTTGTGTGATCTGGGCTCAAGGTTCGGCTCCTGCTGATGCTTCTGGAAGTGGACAGGAAGTGGAGCCCTGGAAAAATTATGTAGATGTTGAAGAAATTCAGAGGTCAAACTCAAAGTCATGGTGGGAGGTGTGTCAAATGTCGAACAGGGGGGTCATTTTGGTCAGACCTGATGATCATATTGCATGGAGTACAGAGATTGATTCTGTTGAGAATATTGTGCAACAAGTGGAAAGAGTCTTCTTCCTAATATTAGGGGCGGTGAGGACCTCTTCGTAGAATTTTTTTGGTTATATTGGTGTTTCTTTTTTTTAGCTTATAGCAGACAGATTGCTCTCGAGTAAGGTTATGGTGCGTAGAGATAAAAGCTCAATGAAGATGCAGTATTTTGTAAATCAGTTTGACAGCTAAAATATTTATATGATTCCAAAAGAAAAAATTGCTCTCAGAGTTACAATCCCGCTGATCGGCTGTTTCACTTGTACTATGATGTATTCCTTTTTTTATGAGTTACGATTGGTAATATTTCTAGGCTTTGTAATGTAATCATGTACAATATTCTTTTGCCAAATATTTCCTTTGTTTGGATTCGCATGTCAGTACCGGAAATAACCAATATATTGCACAATATTCTGGTGGCTGTTTGTTTCACATTGATGTTCTAAGAGAGATTTTTCATGAACATTTCTTCTGGAAATGGAAACCGCAGAATTAATAGGATGACCTTTGGAAGCAACAAAACTAGCAAGAAACTGAGATCAAAAGACCCGCAAACTGTTTCATTGATGCTTGAGACGTTGATATTTCAGATTCTTCAAAGGGTTCGGCATGATAAAGATCATAAACTTTACAGAGATCTTCCTTAATAAAACTCAGATGCAATTACGTTTTATTAGGTTTGTGATACTGATTGGAAATCATAATTAGTATTATTAGGTTTGTGAAAATGATTGGAAATCATAATTAGTATCATGGGCATTCGTACATATATTGAGCTTTGGGATAAGAACTTAGAAAAACTATAGCAATGGCCCGTGTCCGCTAGAGAGCTGATGGAGCTAATCATCGGATAATTCATCCTTGAATCCTCTAATAAGTGAAAATTGATCGAAATATAAAAAATGGTTCTTGAACCGCATGAACTCTGTATCTGAATATGATATAACTAAAGAGGATAACACTATTGAATCTGATGTAATTTTTATTTTTATTTTCCCTTATCTTTGCTTGTCCTCCCCATATTATCTCGTAACTTCAGTAGACATAACCAAGAAAATCTATCAGCGTTTTCTTTTGTTTGTAGACACAAAGGTTCCATTCAACTATCCGTACTTGCAAAAATAATGTATATTACAGACTATATAGCCCAGTAAGCAGTCAACAGATGGTTAATGGTTTTGAAAAGAATCGTCTGATTGCTAGCAGCAGAATCTAGTCTCACAAAGAATATAACTGTACAGGGTCATAAACTAAAATACAACAATTTCAGATGAGAGGAAAGTGGAATGCAAATCTCATTTCTAGCATTCATCAGACTTCACGAGGGAACATTGTGTTCAAGCAGTTTTATAATTGAGCAGCTTTGCTGAGCCTGACATTCAAAATGCATCCGCAATGGCATCCTCCCATCAGGAGTAATAATCAAAGTTTGCTTATCAAGTGTGCAATGGAGGCTGTCGCCAACCCGAGAATAGCACCAGCAACAACCTGAAAAAGAAGGGAAATAGAAGTCAATTCGAGAAACATCAACATAACCTTATAGTCGAGTGCTACCATAGTAACATAAATATCTAGGGGAGGACTACCCATGCTTTAAAAAGCATGCGCAGCAGAAAAGTTGAATTACTATTCAATTGTACTTCAACAAGAGTAAAAAGAAATCATCAGGTCTTGGAAAGAAAAAAGTATCTAATATGTGCCCTTCAAAGGAAATTCAGAGATAACTACTATATATTACATGAACACATTTAGTTCTTCTCTTCTTATGTAGAGGTCAGGCAAATATCGAAGATATCAGTTAAAGATGCAGGAAAACATGGATTACACAAGGGGAAAAATAAATGCAAAAACTAAAACTGATTCATTGATATGAAATCACAGTTGAGGAGGAAGCAATTAAAGTACCATTTCCAACCAACGAATACTGTGGTCCGGACAAATTGTTTGCAACAAAATGAAATGGTACGATGAGATGGCATGTTTTACAAACTTATAGCCCAAACATGGAAACACTCAGAACTGTTTGCACTCAAATGAAAAAGCCTAAAAAATCTCCATAAAAGTTTTATAGGTCCAACCACTAGTTTGGCGACAATAGTATATTGCCAATTTCAGTAAATACAGATCTTCAGACTTCCATTTTATTTTACAAGTTAAAACTTGAAACATATACGGTTTTCATTATTTTATGTCTCTTTGTATGTATGTACAGATGCAAGCTAGACGTGGAACACTGATATGCATGAGATAACGAAGAGAACGGGAAAAAAAGAATTAGGTGAAACACCTGTGTAGGAGTGTGACCGAGAAGTTCCCTCAGTGGTCTTGTGTCGGCAAGAGGGTGTTCTGCTGGTAGTTCATACACGATTTGATTTAATACCTGAAAAACAACCAGAGTAAGTTATAAGATTATGAACATGGGTCCAATAATCACAATCAGTCACACTAAACGAAGTATCGATGGACAAGATGGATAGTGTGAGTTTACATTTCAAAACCTATAAATCACTGTCATAGTTTCATTCCTCATTGTAAATCTCGTTATTGAAGTTATGGAAGTGTAGATTCATATAAAAGAAACAGATGCTATAGAAAGAATCAACCGTAAGTATATACATTTCAAATCTGCATGTAAGAATCAAATATGCAGGTTTTTTTTAATGCATGATGATGCTTATCCCCTCGACGGATGATTTAATTGGATCAAGCCAATGTTGCCTAGGTACGGGTACGGGACACAGCAAATTTGTAAAAAGTAGGATACGGGGGACACGGCTGTATATATATAAAATAATTCACTTTAGATCAGTGTTGAATTGAATACCTATTACATTTGCAAATATACCCCAAAATATGACAAGCTATTTTTATTTTATTTAACATTTCTAAGAAATAGAAAACTATTTTTATTTTATTTAAAAATTTAGAACTAATATTATTACTTATATAAACCGAAACCCAAACCCTCCCCATATAAAACCAAAACCCAAACCCCTCCCCATATAAGTGATGAAAAAAACCCAAACCCAAACCCAAACCCCTCCCCTTATAAAACCGCAACCTCCCCCCTAGGGTTTCCCCAGTCTTCGTCGCCTCCTGCAATTTCCGCGAAGCTCGTCTCCGTCGCCTCCTCCGAAGCTTGTCTCCGTCGCCTCCTCCAATTTCCGTCTTCGTCGCCTCCTCTGAAGCTCGTCTCCGTCGAAGCTCATCTCCGTCGAAGAATGGGTTACAGGCTAGGGTTTTCACAGATCTCCCTCGAAGCTGGTCGTTCACTCCTCGCTCGAAGCTCGTCGCCGACTCATCCCTCGAAGCTCGTCGTTGGCTCCTCCCTCGAAGTTCGTCATCCCTTGAAGCTCGTCGTCCCTCGAAGATCGTCCTCGACTGTTTTCCCTCCAGGTTCGCAACTTTTTTCCCCTCACTCGTGAAATCGCCGTGTCCCTACCGTTTGGGTGCGGAACTGTACCCAAACCGCACCGGACACGGGTACAACACCCATTTTGCTGTGTCGGGGTAACATAGGATCAAGCATTATGGAATTTTATGGGTATAAAAGCAATTTCCAGTATGCTTATAAGTCGTCCCACAATACCCTGTAGCAAACTATAACATCTCATCTCTTATTCAACTTTTTTAAATCTTCTTATAGTAATTTTTCTTATCCCTGCTTTAGGTGAGGCTTGTCTTTGGCTAAACGAGCTTAAAGAAAATAACCCAAATGGTTTTTAAACACTTCCCCATGAACTGGCCTTCTTCACTATATTGCATGATCCTCCTTTGTTTTAAGTTATCCTAACTTGGATGACAATCGTGTTATACCTACTTTGGGCGTGGGGGGTGGGTATTATTCATTGGAACATTTGGGGGATAAATGGGATAAATTTTGGGACATTACAGTGTTATTCATTGGAGTAAGGGGACTAAGACTTTGCTTTGTAGTGTTATTTGTTGAGACAATGAGACTGGAATTTTACATCTAGTGTTATTCATTTTTGAAACAATAATGACAGAATTAACCCACCTATCCTAAAATTGTCCCGGCTATATAAACAAAACTTTACCCCAACCATCAACTTGGAACACGATGGGGTAATCTTTCACGAAAAACTCCATATCTTGTTTCCCTCTCTGCCTCTGATCTAGGATTCACCACTGTTCGTCGATTTAGAAATAAGATTTGTTGTTCCTCTTCCAGCCTACTCTCATCATTCCTTCTTCTACCGCTAGCCGTCTAGGGTTTGTCAATTTGGGATTAAGGCACACGTCCGATTTTTCTTTGTTTAAGGACTTTTTTCCTGTTGATTTCATGAGATTTGAGGGTGTTTCTAGTGTCTAAACAACAAAATTGAATCTTTTCATAAAGATTTACTTTTATATTAAGCTCAATATAGAGTGCGTTTTCATTAAGATTTACTTTGAATCTTAGTTCATAGTTCTCATTTTCACTTTACAAATTTTCATTTTTTTCTTTAAATACATTGGTATAATAGCTATGTGGTGATCTGGACATCTCGACTTTAAGTTTAGGGATTTTTAGGATTTCTAATTTTTTGTTGAATTTTTTTAAATATCTGAGTCGTTAAGCATGCATCTCCAAGTGTGCATCAATAAATGGTTCATTAACTAAATTTTTTCACTAATTTTTACATTAAGGCAATACATCATAAGATCAACAGAGACCATTTTCTTTGAATATTAGATCATGGAGGTTGTACGCACATGGGATTGTAGGAATTTATGTAAAAATTGTTGTGTGTTTAACTTTATTTGCATTGCTTGATATGGCAAAATTATATCATCTATTTAATGAGTTGATATCATATGTAGTCTTTACTGCTAATTAATAAATAACTAGTATATTTAAGGATTAGATCGAGTGATCTTTATTAATGTTTAAGGTGTGTTGCTATTTGTGAACTTTGTGTTGTGGGATGAATATCACGTCAGATCTCAAAACATAAGAGAACATTCTTGAGATGGGGAGAGGGGAAAAAAGCGAGGAAAGACGACCTGTTATGGAGTGGAAGAGAATTAGACTTATTGAGGCTCTTGGTGGACGAGTTAAAAATTGGGAACAAAATGGATAGCAGTAACTTCAAGAAAGTTATCATCACTCAAAATGTCTTGCCATATAAAAATGCAAAGTTTGAGAGAAACTTCAAGTTTGAACATGTTAAGAACAAGTTTAAGAGTTGGAAAAGAAAAATTGTACCTATTGAATTACTTCTGAAAAATAATTCTGGACTGGGTTGGGAACCAACAACACAGAAAATAACTTGCTTTGACGAGGTGTGGGATAATTATAAGCATGTTACTTTGTTACTTCAAAAAAAATATTTACTGTATTTAGGTGCTAACGTGATGTTAAACTGATATATATTTTATTTTGATAGGCTCATCATGTTTAAGGACAAGTTATTTGAGAATTTGGATGATTTGCGCATGGTGGCAGGTAATAACTCCGCAACTGGTAGAATTACTAGAGGATTGGGAATCAAGGGTGTGGAGAGTGTATCGTCACACAATGCATTAGGTAAGGGTAGGCTTGATGGTGATATTGACCTAGAATCTATTGGTGACAACGATCTTATCTAGATACTCCACCACCTCTTAGCACCACTTAGCACCACCCCAGGTGTTGACACTCCTCTAAGTCTGTTCCATCGAATTATAGCACTAGCTGAAACATTCAAAGGGCACCTACTCGCACCCCACCACCTCTGCATGGTCTCAACCCACCGTACAAGACATTACAAATGAGATTACAGATATAAGCAAGGCTTTGCAAGAGTTTGTCTTAGACGTGAGGCTGTTACAAAGCCGAAATCAGTCGCGGATTGAGGGGGTGGCTTTCATTCGTGGATTTACCGAATCATAATGGTTGACTGTCCCCAATGAGAATATTTCCCAAAATCTTGAGGATTTCTATGTGAAGATGAATGAAAGTCCAAGGTGAAAGTTCTTGATTTGGAGGCTAACTGGAATATTTCTAGTTGAGGATGAGGAGGGTGATGACTATACTTGATGGCTATGCATAGGTCATGATTTGGAGACTAACTCGTAGTTTGATGGCTAACACTTTTGGAATTGCATTTTGAGCACACATGCTTTTATGTATGTATTTTGAGCATACGGGTCCTTATTATGTATTTATTAGGTGTTTGATGACTGTGGTCTTAAGTGGAAATATGTGTGCATGATGCTAATTATGTGTGTATGATGCTAATTATGTGTAGATGATGCTTTTATGCGTTAAGTGATATTTTGCAGCCTGTGATGGAAATATGTATGTGTGATGGTAATTATGTGGTGGAAAGTTTCAACATCGTCTGCAAAAATAATGCTTAACTATTTTACTTGAATTATTAATGGATATTGAAGACATTAACACTTGATATAATATGTAAGTAAATAAATGGAGACATTAAATTTGGATGAGACTTAATATGTTACAGCCCTTTTGCTTTTATTATGCATCTGAGTACAATATTTTCAGTTAATTATAGTTCATGTATCATTAAGGCTATATTTTCTATGATTCTCTTTATTTAATCAATTTGCGTATGCTTACGCTGAAGCCTACATGTTTGCATGTCTACTATTTGTGTAAACATACAAACTCATGATCATTGCATATTTGTGAAAGTGAGAGTGCAGGATATTTTGCATCTTCTAAGCCTTGTTTTCATGCATATATTAGGATGGAAGATAATGCAGAGGTGTCTATTTTGATATTTCAAGAGGATAGTGCTCACTATCTCCTCCGCAAATCAATATGGCCGCATAGACAGCGGACCTAGTTGCAAAGATCTCACAACTCATATCAAAGGAAGTACCAAATATGCAATTGCCTGCATATTCGAGCCTCAGACATGGCATTATAGATCTTGGTCTTCAATACTTGAAATCCAAGATGGAGAGCAGTCTACGTGATTTTCATCGAATATATCCTATCTAAGTATCTATGTATCTAGACGGTAATAGTCTTTATGTCAAATTGTTAAATTTAACATTTGCTTTTTTAAGAATTCTATCTACTATAATTCTAACAATACGTTACTGTAGGTAAATTCTATCTGGTGGATTGTGGTGGCCCCGATAGGCTGCAATTCTTGGCTCTGTATCGGGATACGAGGTACCATCTGAAGGAGTTCGACCCAGCCAACAATTGGTAGCAGCCATTTATCCGCCTGAGTTATTCAACTATCGGCATGCATCTCTCCAAAATTATATCGGGCGTATCTTCCGTGTTTTTAAGTTGAGGTTCACTATTTTCAAGAGTTAACCTCTTGGTTTTCCATATGAGACACAGAAAAATATGTTCAAGGTTTTGTACCAGCCTGCATAACTTTGTAAAGTTGGAGAACTCAGACAATGTCTTTGAAGTCTCTGATCTTCCTTCCGAAGCACTACGCAATGTTGCACCACTGGATGCAAATTCTGCTGAGGACGATGATTTAAAACTCAGTAGGCACAACAGGTAATTGTAGTAGAGTGGAGAGAAACAATAGCAAAGACTATGTGGCAGGACGGGACACGCATATCACAAGAAGTCTAGTTTCTAGTCGGTGATCATTGGACTGGATTTGTTATAATTAAGCTTTAACAACCAAGTTTTTATTTGTAATAGTTATGACTTCTTTATTTCAATCTAAATTGTTCTTCTTTAGATAATAATTAATAACGAATTCACTGTCGCATGGCTGACCAACGATTACTAGCGATTTCGGCTTCATGCAGACAAATTGCAGCCTGCAATCCGAACTGAGGACGGGCTTTTGGAATTAGCTCACCCTCGCGGGATCGCTACCCTTTGTCCCGCCCATTGTAGCACGTGATGTGTGTTAGTTATAGTATCATAAGTTAATTTAGATTTAATTGATACACAAAACATTGATAATAATAATAAAATATTTATTATTACTTTAAATATTATTCTTAATATAATAATAGCTTATTCATGGAAGTTAGGTAGTAATAAGAACTTAATAAATATATAAATCTCATATTTTAAAAAGATGACATCATTTAATTGTCACTCAAATTGTCCCATTATCCTCAATTATCTCATTCAAAGTGTCTCATGATCCCACTTTATCCCTCTCAAATTATCCCAAGCATAAAATTATCCGAGCGAGACAATTATCTAAATTGACCCCAAAATATCTCAATGAATAACCCCCCACCCCACCCCACCCCACCCCAAACAAAAAAACCCTCCATAATCTGTATAATTCACAGTCCGTCAGTAATGAACTGTTTCATGTTTTGTGCTATAATGCAGTCCTTTCATTCAGCCAAACTAGAAATGTTTTCGCATTTTCATGCATGCACAACATATTCTCAGCTCCAATGGTGTGATTCCAAGATCGGAGGGTTTACATCAAGTAAACAGCAAAGGAAAACCAACATGAAACTTAAAATGATGTACTTGAACATAAAAAAATATTAGAATTACTAATTCTGAGATGTAAAACCGTACCTCTGCCTGCCTTCCAGCATGCAATCTAACACCAAAAGCATCATACATCACCTGAGAAAAAGTGGACATGAGAAATGTATACTAAATATTTGTCAATGTGTTAAAGGGAAAAGATGAATTGCTAATCTCTTTTCACTCAACTTTAAATATGTAATTTTATAAGAAATAGCCATGGGTATTTGGGACAGATAAACCAACAAGTGCACCGAAAACCTGAACAAATCCAAGATTCTGGGACTTCATGTTCTTTTAGTTTTGGTTCAGCAAATTAAAAAGGGTTCACTTTCAAAATGTATTTTCAACGACAGCCATAAATAACAGGAATCAAGGTCTATGTGGTGGATTTATAGTGTTCAGAAATATATTTAGAGTGTCACTATTTGCATATAAGTCAGGAATTGACTGGATAAGTTCTCTGAGAAGTAAAAGTTTGCAAAGGAGCATTGCAGGTTTGTGAATAAAATAATCAGCATCTAGAAATGTAATACAGTAAGCAAAGATGAATGACTTACAACACATGCGAATATCATAGCTGTAGCAAAGATTGAACCACTAAAACCTTCATGGAATCCAATGGCTACAGCAAGTGCTGTCACAGTTGCAGAATGGGACGACGGCATTCCCCCAGATCCAATAAGTTGCTTAGCATCCCAACGTTTTTCCTTATACCTACAAGTTTGGGAGGGAAATTTTAAAAAAAAATCTTAATGAAACAATAGTTTATAACTTTAGATAGACACCTGGTGTTAGTAATTTTCAGAACTACTAGGGGCAGGTTGGTAAAATATTGGACTACGCTTTAAGTGACCAGAAGGGATTCCCTCCCTCCAAGGGGTATGGAAGCTAAAAAATGAATGCCTTTTTTGGCATACTGATCAATGCAATTTGCCATATTGATCAATGCATATCAATAAAACTGGGGGATTTTTTTTTTTTTTTTTTGACACCTCAAGTAAACATATAAGGTATTGAAAGTTCATCTATATTTTATTTATCGTTAACATGTTTAGCTCTTTAATTCTAAATTAACCAAACACAGATATATACTTTGACGTCCTCCACCTTCCGCAGCTTCTAGTTTATATACATTCTCTCATGAAATTTCTCTTAAGGACACATTTTTTATCTTTGTTCAAACGATGCTGATCCGTAGCCTAAGTAAACTTAGTTAAAATTGTTAATGGAAAAAGGCTGTTTGAGGTAATTTTCTTATAGCTAAGAGTGGTAGTGGTCAGTTTCCATTAAAATGGTTGGAAATTTGAGGTAATGTTCCTCATAAAAAGAAAAATATACTCATTTTCCCACCTATCTGAATAATGTCAAAGTCGAAGGCTTCACCTAATTGTCAAACCTCAAAAAAGCCCCAATAAACCAATCAGAAATCCTAAAGACATGCAAGAAAGATTGACTACAATTTTCCTGAAAAGCTGGATAGAAAAGGAGGAGGATCATTAACCTCGGTTAGAGTGTTCACTGGAAGATCCTTGTATATTATGAAATATGGGAGGAAATAACTAAATTTCCAGGTGACTCCGAGCTAGTATCAGTAGTACTTCATGTGATGTACCCTTCACATTCTAAAGGACTCCATTTCTGGTCCCGCAAGGTTCATAAATTATCCCATGCGGTAATTATGATTGGCAATTTGCATTTCTAATAAAAATAAATAAGCTAACAAACAGAACATAAACTGAGTCGTATTTGATTTTTTTATTTCTTTTTTACTTATTTTTATTTTTAATTTTTATTTTCTTTTTCCCGGCCCCCAAACCAAGATCGTTTTCAATTTAAACTTTTTTGTAGCATTAATCTGCCAAAAATCCATTTTTTTTTCGCCCAGTTCTAACAAAATTTTACATTCCTGAACCCAAATCAGAGCAAAATAACTAACAAGCCCTAGCTTAGAAATCCAAGATCATCCCTTTACCCAATTCTCCAACCAAACAACACAGGATAAACAAAATCAGCACCAAATCAAGAGGAGAAGAAAAATTACCAAGTTGTAAAGAACTTGATGAGCTGAGCAATGGCGAAGGCCACGAAAGCCGAGATCAGAGGGTAATTCTGTAATATCGCGAAAGATCCAGAGGAAGATGATGAAGAAGTTGTCGCGGCCGTTGAAGAAGAAACCTCGGCGTCGCTAATTCCTCGCATCTCTCTCTCTCTCTCTCTAGAACGCACTTTCTCTCTCTAAAACGCTCGATATCTAAGAAGAGACCGAACAATTCGCGAATCTTTTGTGGGGCTAAAGATGCGTAGGCTATATAATAGTCGGCTATATAATAGTCGTTTAAGAGGCTGTGTTTATTTCGTGCAAACCCCCTGTAGTCAAGTAATATAAGTTTTACGTCCATTGGATATTCTATGCTTGCATAAAATAGAAAGAATATGCCAGAAAGCGTTTGGAACTGGATAAGCATATAATTTAATAAATTTGCTTGCTTCTACGAAAGTATTTTCTGGGCCTGCGGCCTCATAATTCTCGCTATAATAAATAATGACGTGGCTAATCTAAGTACACAAGCTCTAAGTCCGTGCTCTCACGGATTGATAAAATTTCTTTAGTTCCGTGCTCTCACGGATTGATAAAATTTCTTTAGTTTGTGTTGATGGCTGATATCATACAGTCAATGAGAGAAATTATTTGGTTGACGGAGATCCTCTAATGCTCTAAATGTCAGATTCTGAAGCAGACTGTTCTTCTTTGCACAGGTAGAAAATCGTAAGAGAGTGAGTTGGGTTCTCCGGTTGTTCCTCCGATGATCAAATCAGTAATTTGTTTGAGTGGAGATATAACTGAACTATAGAAGTTCTTAAGTACTGTGGGTAAAGATAAATATCTTACCCTTTTATTAAAAATAGTACCCATTTTTATAGCGGTAGTAGAGTGGTAGGATGGTAACTTCAACCGAGTATGGGCTGGCGGCCAAGTCAGCATCTGCTTTACAGTTGTTGATCGACTAGTGGAGGAGAGGTCACTTCCGCATCTAATGTGAAGTAACTGGAGGCGTGCAGTGTTGATTTTACTCGATCTAATTTCAAACAATAATCGTGATTAATTCAAAGAGATGAAAAGCAAGAAGAGCGAAAGCAATACCTGAATCCATGAAGATTTGTCTGAATCTAAATTAGGATTTGATCTTCTAATCTTGAGGATATCTCATTTAGTTTCTCTTTAGATGGAGATTTTAAGAGAATAGAGAACGTTAACCTCAGATTATGGACCATAACCCTTTATTTATAGACATTACTGTTTTCTAATTTAGCCCATCATAAAATTAGAATTGTAAACTGGTATCTACAAAATTAACCCGTGATTAAATTAAATACACATTGACCCAAATTAACTAATTGATCACTTTATGTGGTCAACCTTAAAGATAACAACACACTGATGTAACATATGTGCCCACAAATAGATTTAATTAGATTTAAATCTATCAATCTCCCACTTGGACCTTAAAGTGTGTATAACCTTATGAACTTAAAAATAGCTATCACTGATAAGGGTATTTCCAAACAATCTTGTCCATTGACTATATCAATATAAGATCAAAGCGGTTTTCGTCACATTTATCGTGACTAAACCCATCAATGGTCACATATACTAATACAATCAAATGACATAGATCAATCATGAATGTGTAGCATGAAAATTACATGCAATGTGATCTGTACATGTTTATTTTCAACTGGTCCTATCTTAAACTTTAGTGAGGTCAATACCAAACATAATGTAACAGAGTGTATGAACTGAATACTTTTTTCTGATTAGACAATACAACCAAGCATAAAGAACCAAAAAATTATAAACTCCCACTAAATTATGATATCCTCAAATAATATCACACCCATATGAGCAGTGTGCTCATAAAAGACCTTAGGTGGTAATCCTTTTGTAAGAGGATCAGCTATCATGGAGTTTGTCCCAATGTGCTCTATGGATATATGTCCACTCTACACCCTTTTTTCACAACTAGGAACTTAATGTCAATGTGTTTTGACTTAGTCGAGTTCCTGTTGTTATTGGAATACATAACTGCTGATTTATTATCACAAAAAAACTTAAGTGGTCTTTTAACATTTTTTAGAATGCGCAGTTCAGTGATAAAATTTCGCAGTCATATTCCCTGATTAGATGTCTTATAGCAAGCTACAAACTCTGGTACCATAGTGGAAGAAGCTACAAGTGTCTGTTTGATACTTTTCCATGATATAACTCATGCTGCTAACATATAAATATAGCCTGATGTTCTGCTATCTTAGCATCCAGCAAAATCAGAATCAGAGTACCCAATGACCTTTAACTGTTCTGATTTTCTGTATGTGAGCATATAATCTTTTGTTTTCTGAAGATACCTCATAACCCTTTTGACTACTATCCAATGATTCATATCATGGTTGCTTAAGTATCTGCCTAACATACCAATAATGTACGCAATATCCGAACGCGTACATACTTGAGCATACATTAGACTTCCTATAGATGAAGCATAGAGAATCTTCTGTATTTTTTAAATTTCAAGGTTACATTTAGGGCACTGATTTAGACTAAACTTGTCTCGTTTAGCAACAGGGTGTCACATGATCTGTAGTCTTACATGCTAAACCTTTTGAGTACTTTATCAATATAGTTCTTTTGTGATAATCCAAGTATACCTCGAGAACGATCTTGATGTATTTGAATTCCTAATATAAAAGAGGTGTCCCCAATATCTTTCATCTCAAAATTCTTTGAAAGAAATCTCTTGGTTTCGTGCAACATGCATATATTATTAGTGGCAAGCAATAAGTCATCAACATACAGAACCAGAAAAATATACTTACTCCCACTGGACTTGTGATATACACAGTCATCAATAATATTCATCTCGAAACCAAACGAGATAATTATTTGTTGAAACTTATGATACCATTGACGAGGAGCTTACTTAAGTCCATAGATAGATTTTCTTAATTTGCAAACCATATTCTTCGGGTATCCTGACATAAAGTCTTCTGGTTACACCATATATATCATTTTATCAATGTCTTCATTGAGAAATGCAATCTTAACATCTATCTGATGTAACTCAAGATCAAAATGAGCAACAAGCGTCATTATTGTTCTGTGATGCGGCATAATTATGTACCAAAATTGCAAGTGCATAATTTATCAAGTTATAGTATAAAAAATATCGATCCCACGAGGAAGGTGATTTTAAGAGATTATTAGAAATGGTTCTTATATTTTGTGCGTGACAATTAGGAATAAAGAATAAGTGTGATTTTGTTGAGTGATTGTTATGAATATATGCAAAAGATAATAAATTGAATTTTAGAGGAGAGAAGGAAGAATTAAAGAATAAATGAAATCATAAGGCAAGAAATATGAATTAATAAAATCAAGAAATAAAACCAAAAATGAAAAGAAAATTTAAGAAAGTTAAGATGAAGGATTCAAAAGAGGTAAGAAATCTAGAATATAATCCACTAACCAATTTCAATTACAAAATATAAACTATTCTCTTTTTATCATATTTCAACTTAGATTTATTAAGCATAGATTATCAAACCATTTAAGGAAAGTGTAACCTATCAAATTATCATCTAAGTTAAAATTACTATTCATGATAAGAACAACAACATGATAATAATCCTAGAATTCATAAGCATAACCTATCAAACCATTTAAGATAAGCATAGATTATCAAATTCTTCTTCTACCGATTAGTTCTCTAGTTGATTATCCTAACATGAACATTTTAAGTACAAGAGAATAATTCATACAATATAAAAGAAATTAGACTAGTTTCATACAATTCTAAGATTCCTACAAGAATTAAATTCACCTCTTAAGAAATAAAAACAAGAAAAAGAAGACTAATTACAAAATTAAAAAGAAAAGAAAAATCTAAACTATGAACAAGAAATAAATCTAATTACAAAGAAAATAAAAATCTAAACTACAAAATAAATTGCAGAAATTAAATGCAAGAAAATAAATCTATTCTACAAATTAAAGTGCAAAAAGAAATAAAAAGACAAGAAATTAAATCTACTCTACAAGCATGAATTTAAATCTAACTAATAAGCAATAATAAAGAAATTACTAAAAAGAAATAAAAGAGAAAAGAAATGCAAACATTCAAATTGCTCTTTATCTCCATCCTTATCATTCAACAAAGAGGAGAAAGAACAAATTTAAAGAGGAAAAAATTATTATTATTAATTGCAACTAAAGTTACAATTTTTGGAAGGCCTTCTCAATTAATAGTAGCCCTCCTCTCCAAAAGGAGTTTACAAAATTTCCACACCCTTGACCCCTCACTCTCTACCCCTATTTATAGTAATCTTCAATGAATATGAGCCATTCGATTTGTCTTGAGTCCCAAGCAACAATCTTCACCTTTGAATTTGCCTTTTGTTCTTCTCTAATCCAACATAAGAGGCCCATTCATGATTTTAAAAATTAAATCCGGTCCAATTAAGTTCTGCAGCAATTAAAAGCCTGGTCCACTCATGTTAGATCCAAGTCCGGTACAAGTCTGCATCCAAGTCCACATTTTATTTGATTTTGAAATGAATATCATGTCCGGCCCATAAAAATTCAAAGCTGCATCAAAGTCTGGCATTTGGAGAAAAGAATTCAGGTCTGCAGTCCGGCCCATTTCAAATTTTCTCCATTCACAACTGCAACCGCCCATTTGAAGCTTCCTTTGATTTTAATCTTCAGCAACGGCCCATTGATGTTTGCAAAGAGCTGCGGCCCACAATGATTTATTTGATCCATCAAGTCCAATGAAGAGTTCGGTCCATTCATGTGCCTTTGCTTTTGAAAATCAAATCCGGCTCCTAGCTGCAACCGGCCCATGTAAATAAACATCCCAAAACAAGTCCAATGTTAGCAATTAAGTCCGGTTTTGTAATCTTGAATAAATGCATAAAAGCCCACTTCATTTCAATTATTTGCATCCAAGTCCACGTTTGATTTTGAAATTCCAAGCCTCTACAACCAAGTCCAGCAGTCCGGTTCTATTGGCTTTTTGCTTCAATGTGCTTCTAAAATGCTACAAAAATAGAGAAGAGAGATTTTGAGGGGTTTTTATATTTAATAATATTTATTTATATTTCCATTCATTTATGTATAAACTAATCTAAAAACAATTATTAATGGTATATTTATTCATGTAAAATAGATAATGAGGATATAAAATTATAATAAAAATATGATTATCAAATACCCCCACACCTA